TACAAATTATAAATGAGCCTACACGTATTGCAGGAAATTCCGCTACTTTGATTGATCCAATTTATATAAATAATGAAAGTTTAGTTACAAATTATGGAACCCTTGACACGTATCCGCTATCTGATCATAAATTGGTGTTTTGTGAACTTAAGATTGTTTTACAAAAATGTAGACAAAAATTCATTACTTTTCGAGACTTAAAAAACATAAACATTGATGAATTTAAAGAAGATTTATCTCGTGTAAATTTGGATTATATTTTCTACTTACAAGATATAAATGCTAAAGTAAATGTACTAAGCTCAGCCATAATACATTTATTTAATACTCATGCACCTCTAAAAACCGTTCGTGTAAACAAGCCCTCGGCCCCCTGGTTAACCAATACATTAAAACTAATTTTCAATGAAAAACGAAGGGCACTAAAAGCATTTAATTTAAATAAAACTAAGGAAAATTGGGATCATTACAAAGAAATGCGAAATTTTGCTTTATCTTCGGAAAGAAGGGAAAAAATGGCATATTTAGAATATCTTAGAGCTCAAAACCGTCCTAAAGACCTCTGGAAAAGTTTAAATGACCTTGCAGTAACTAGTAAAAATAGACCTGACTTGCCTGATCATATAAGTAACCCAAATATCATAAATGATTATTTTATGTCTGTTTATAACACCACTGAAGTAAATCCAGAAGTTTTATCTTTTTACAAAAGTAATAAGTTTAAAAATAATATTTCCTTTTCTTTCTCTCTTGTTGACTATAGTTATGTTTATAAAATAATATCAAAATTAAACTCGAATGCATGCGGCTCCGACAATATATCATTAGATATGATTAAGTACTGTCTTCCAAATATTTTAAAATATATTACACACATAATCAATTGCTGCCTTGAAACGGGGTTCTTTCCAGAGAGTTGGAAAGAAGCTATTGTTTGTCCTGTCCCCAAAACAAACAATCCAAATGATGTATCGGACCTTAGGCCCATTAGTTTGTTACCGGTATTTTCCAAGGTTTTGGAAAAAATAGTAAATTTTCAAATTGTTGAATATTTCGACAAAAACGGTATTCTGCCTGTAAATCAATCGGGCTTTCGAAAAAACCATAGTACCACCTCGTGCCTTTTGTATCTTACTGATAATATTTTTAAAGCCTTGGATAATAAACAAGCTGCTATTTTGGTCTCCTTGGACTATTCAAAGGCGTTCGATAACATAAGTCACTCTCTTCTTTGTTCCAAGCTGCCCTATTATGGTTTCGATCAAATTTCTTGTCAGTTTTTTTATTCATATTTGACAAAAAGATCTCAAAAAGTACGCTTAAAAAACACTTATTCACCTTCCTGCCTTGTACCATCCGGAGTACCGCAGGGCTCAATTCTCGGTCCCTTGCTTTTTATACTATACACTGCAAATTTATTTGATCAAACTAAATATGTGCATATGCAAGCTTATGCGGATGATACACAGATCTTATACTGTTTTGACCCTGCTAACATATTTGAAACTAACCTCAAAATAAACGAAGACTTAAATTCAATAAATATTTTTTCCAAAAACCATAATCTGAATATAAATCCAAAAAAATCTGTAGCTATGATTTTTTGCTCTAAAAATCTCCGCGAAAAATTAAAATCAAATATCAAACTTTTTATAAATAATGAAAGTATAAATTTCTTAGAAGAGGCTAAAAATCTGGGTGTCCTGGTGGATGAAAATCTTCGGTTTACTGGTCATATTTTAAATTTTAAAATGAGAAAGAAATTAACTGAAAGCCTTGTTCTGCCAATTTTTTATTATTGTAATATTTTGTACTACCCGTGTCTTGACCTGCAAACAAAAACCTGTATTCAGCGTATACAAAATACTTGTGTGAGATTTGTTTTTAACCTCAGAAAATATGACCATGTATCTATCAAACGAGCTGAACTTAGATGGCTCAAACCAGGCGACGTTGTAAAGCTCCACTATTTAACATTTGTGCACAGAATTCTTCTTACCTCTACACCTCTATACTTAAGACAAAAGTTAGTTTTTGGTCATGACATACACGATCGCCACACACGACATGCTCGCCTATTATCTTTACCTAAGCACTCAACAGCTTTATTCACACGGTCCTTCACTTTTAACTCAGTAACTTACTACAACTCAATTGACAATAATTATAAATCTATGTCTCTAAATAAATTTAAAAAAAGTATAAGAGCTTCTTTTTCCATTTAAGTTTATAATATTATTATGTAAACAATTTTGTTGTTTAAGAGAGTAATTATATGTTATACAGTGTATAGATATATATAGGAATATTTTATTTTATTTTTTTTTAATTTTTTAACTTGTTTAATTCTCATATTGTTTTTATTACTTTATTTTTATATATATACATATGTATATATATGTATATACTTTTGTTGTTGCTATTTCTTATTTATTTTATTTTCTAGTCTTATTAAACACCAATTATAATATCACACTTGGTTAAGTGTAAGAGTAGCCTTGGGCTAAACTTCGCCATTGTGTGCCACTTTATGTAAAGTATTTAATAATATTATTGTAATATTTTACTAAAAAATAAAGACGATTATTATTATTATTATTATTATTAATATATGTTACTTGATATACAAATTAAAATAATCAAAATTCTAAAATTTAACAAAAATAAATTTGTTTAAAGGTCTTACACAAAAAATAATGTTAAATAATTATTTTCTGTAAGTTATAGTATAGTTAAAATTACAAAAAAAAATATGTTAATATTTCATAATAAAATATATAATACCTATAATAAAAATACATTAGTTATAATGACTCTTTAACAAGTGTTAATCTAACTTAAAAATATATGTTAAATTTGGAGATACAATTTTTTTTATTCAAATTTAAACAACTGATTATTATTTTTTCGTTAAAGTAAATAAAATATTTATGTTGTTTTCTCTATTCGTTAATTACCGCCTGCTTTCGATTAAGACCGGTACCCCCCCACAAGGCCTTTTGTTCTCGAAGCCTGTCGAACTTCGACAGTCAAAGCAGTCGCTTGATGAGTACGTAGGGTGTGATCTGTGTTGTGTTAATTTGTTAAACTAAATTTAAAGGTATATTTATATTATATTAATGTTACGTTTTATTTTTAATAAATAAAAATGTTCCTATTTTATATAATTGTTTTATTTTTTGTCCAATTTTTTTTATTAATTTATAAGTGTTTTACCAAACGGCGATTATTTGTTAAAATTGTACGTACAGTATATTACATATATTAATTTGTTTTAACAATTATTTTAATTAAATTTTACAAAAATAATTGTTTTTTCATTTTAAGGTTATTCCGGAAAAAACGTAACGTCCGTTACTGTTTAAGCCAATATCTTGAAAAAAGCTTTTTTCATAAATGCACCTTGTTTTTTATGAAAAAAGCTTTTCTCAAGATATTGGCTTGAACAGTAACAGACGTCACGTTTTTTTCGAAATGGCCGTAAAATGAAAAAACACAATTATTTTTGTAAAAGTTAATTAAAATTATTGTTAAAACAACAAATTAATATATGTTATAATTATTAGTGTAAAATCAACAAAAATTTAAATGTTAAAGTAACACTTTTTTGTGTAAATAAATTTAACATTTTTAATTATGTCAAAATTAAAAAGATTTAAAATCAAATTAACTATTGGTTTATGTTAAAACAACAATTTTATTTTAATAAAAATAGCATAAACCTGTTTGTTAATTTAACTTTGCAGTTATGTTAAAAAGAAAAGTTATATTCACTTTTTTTACATATTATGTTGTGTAATCAATTAACATAAGTGAAATAAGTCAATGCAACTAAAAAATTTTGAGTGGACTTTCTGGGACACAAGAAATATGTTAAAAATACATAAAAAATTTTAACCGTGTATTAATACATACATATATCACAAAAAAAATAATAAAGAAATAAAATTACTCAGTACCAATAAACTTTTTGTCTCTTCTGTAAAAAATGAATTCTTGTTTTTACCCGGTTATACTTCTGGGATCTAAAATTATTTTTGAATGAAAAATAAACTGGTACCTAGGTATTTTCTAATCCAAATTTTAAAAAATTAATTGTTTTAAATTGGTTGGAATGGGTTTGGTGCTATGAATTACCAATTCATTCCATGTGCATTTTTATTGGATTTAGCCAAAAGAGACAAGCGTAGTCATGGATTGGTATTTTCCAATTCAAGCCGCTGACTTCATTGGAAATTACCAATAGGAATTCAACTGGAATGAATTGGTGATTCATAGCGCCAAAACACATTTCAAACCAATTCAAACCAATTACTTATTTTTTATTGGATTCTATTGGTATTTTCCTATTCAAACCGCTGACTTCATTGGAAATTACCAATAGGAATTCAACTGGAATGAATTGGTGATTCATAGCGCCAAAACACATTTCAAACCAATTCAAACCAATTACTTATTTTTTATTGGTTTCTATTGGTCATTTACAATAGGGATATCCAAAGTACACTCCTATTTCGAACGCACTCCTGTAAAACTTTTCTCGGATCGCCTCACATATATTCTAGAATTTTACCAATTTTTAAGTAAATAGGTATAAGTAGGTATTTAAATATAAGGAAGTATCTAGTTTTATTAAAAATTTATGGCGGTTTAATTAAGTGGGACCATTCTCTATTTCGTTGTGACTACTTTATATAAATAAATTTAATTTAATTAATTATAATGGTACCTATACAAATTCAAAACAAAAAAATTACTATATTTCTATGGGGTAAATTAACAAAGTTTATTGCACAATTAGTATCTCCTTAAGTGTGGTATATTAGAAAGAAGGTCGTCGGTTGGCCGGCGTCGGCTCCACCCCTTTTTATAGCCCGCCCTTTCGCACGCGCCGGATACCCTTATTTTGAAACGACACATTTAAAAATCCAAACTCCGACTGACCACAACGTGCGTGTGCGTGTTTACATAAATATACATCAAAATACAAATTAAAACAAATGGCTTCCGAAATAAAATCAAAAACAAATCAACCATCGAATCCTAGGGATTTTTTTCAAAGGATCTATGGGGATTTGGAGGATTTAAGTGGGACAAAAAAAGATGAAGTTTCGGTTATCAGAAATTCCGAATCGGAATTGATAGCGCCGATCCCGATTTTGGCGGCTCCAATACCATTTTTGATACCTTCAGGGAATGAACCGCATCTCGCAGCCGCTGCAGCAGGATTATCTGCGTTTTGTAAGTACGTAGTACCTATGTAGTTTGATTTTAAATAATTTTATTATACAGTGGGTATAATTCAGAGATGTATATACAGCTGTAGACCATCAAATCTTCTTTACGCGTTTTTTCTACGTGTTATCTACGTATTTTTTATAGACCTATAAAAAATACGTATAATAAAAGAGGATTTCTATAAAGTGCACTCAGAGAAATATCATGTCATGAAAAGCATATGAAATTATATTAATTTAAATAATCTGGTAAATTTGATTCAAATAGAAAAATTTGTAGTTTTATATTCATTTACTAACAGTTTTACAATGTTTTTAAACACTTTTATAGTGTAACCTCTTTAAAGTATATATACAAAAAGAAATCTATTTATTTCATTGCCTTTCTCAACGTTGTTTAAAAAAGATATGTAATATACAATTGTTATACACCTATTAATTTAATGGGACACACCAATGACGCCAAAACATATTTGAATCCCTTTGAATTATTATCGTTTTGAATGATTCTACAACATTTTTTCTCTCAGTGTGGCGGCTGGTGGATTTTGGGTATACCGATATCTCAATTATTAGATATGGGACCCACAAAAAATTTATATGAGTTTATAATGACATTAAATAAACAAGTTCTGCGCAAGCAGAATTTAAATTAAAGTTTGCGAAAAAAAGATAAATTTTTGCTCGGCCGTACCGGCCCCATGGCGCCCCCAATAAATATAATATAAATTTAATTGGTGCAATTTATTATTTACCATAGTTTATCACCAATTTTCAAATTTCATTTTAAAAATACAAATTATACAGATTTTAAACCATTTTAAATTTTTATTATTTCTTTTTTCATGTAGACAATGTAAATTTGTTAAAAAGCGAAAATTTGAATTATTTTTCAAAAAATTACACTTCATTTAATTAAGTAGGTATATAATATATATATTAAATATACCTATATAATATATAATATATAATATATATATTAAATATATATAATATATATATTAAATATGTTAAAAGTTATAATTATGAAAAAAAAATATGTATTTTATACCTACCTTTACTAATTAATTCACAGCACGGTGCGGTAGTTTGACGATTTAAATCAACTTTAAATTAACTCATTTCTCTTTCTATACATAGATTCTAAGTGACGTAAGGATGATTTTGACCAAAAATTAAAAAAATCTATCGAGCACTTTTTCTTATTAAGCAAAAACCCCGTATGTTGGACCCTTACCTTGCATGTGACTATTCAGTGTATAGTATTCACAAAATATTTACTCATATTATATTCATTTTTTTAATTTTATTTTGTTCAGTATACCTACGTTAAAACCTATAAGTTAAAACTAACTGCAAAATATTATTCATAACAAAAAATTTTAATTTAATAATAAATAAACCGTATATACAATTACTTCCTTGTAAATAAAGAAAAATCTATAATTGTACAAAGTTTTATTTTTAAATACCTACATAATATTTTATTCAATAGCCTATTCAAAATTTTTATTGAACATTATTTATGAGCAGTTTATTAGTTTCTCTATAGATAATAAAAGATTATCCTAGACATGTTTTTAGACGTGCGTTAAAATGATAAAAATACAAGGCGGCTGCTCCATTCCAAAATGCAGTACCTATTCAACATTTTTTCAGAACATATTTTTTTATATTTTTGCATATATGTATATATACTGTATTAAAAAGCACCTTCTAACCCGGCCTATTTGTTGATGAAAAACTCTAACACATAGCAGTAATATCAAAAGAATTCACTCAATACCCTACAGAGGCCAAATCAAAAAACTAAAACACGTTTTTCTCACAATTTTGTTTTTTAAGCATACTGTGTTTTGAAATGAAGCAGCCGAAGGGAATATTAATTTAAATGAAAAATATCTGCATGAATTAAAGGGTTTTATAGGCGGCAATGCAACATAGTAGACTTAGCCTAAATGTCAAGTCCGAAAAAAAAAACCAAAAGTATGGTTAATTAACTGTCATTTTGAGTTTCTTTAGTGCGGGGTTTTTGCTTAATAAGAAAAAGTGCTCGATAGATTTTTTTAATTTTTGGTTAAAATCATCCTTACGTCATAGAGAATTGATGTATAGAAAGAGAAATGAGTTAATTTAAAGTTGATTTAAATCGGCAAACCACCGCACCCTGACAGAGATACCTAATAGTTATTTATGTATCAAGGCAGTAAAGTCGTATTTTTTATCACGAAAGTGAAAGTTATTTGCAGAGGCGAAAGCCGAGGCAAATAACCACGTGAGTGATAAAAAATGACTTTAATGCTGAGGTGCATATTAAATTTGCAAATCACCCCTAAGGGAGCTGCAGCCTATTAAAGGTACACCCCTGAAGGTGATTTTTATTATTATTTCATAAACAGTTTGAGATAAAATAATAAAATTATCTATGCTTACTTAACTTTTAACGCTTAGGTAATTAAAAAATAACAATTTGTGTATAAACCAGGGGCGGCCCAGGTTATTTTGAGGAACTTTAAGAATATGGGATTTTTATTAACAGTTTTCTTTATATTACAAAAGATCCAGGTTTTTTTAACTTGTCCACCCAATTTTTTCAAAAGCACGTTTGAAGAAAAACATAATAAATATTCAAAACATCAGTACCTTGGCGTGTTACAATTCCTGAATCAAATATTTGAGTGATTTTATTTTAAAATATATTCAATTTATCCTAAATTTTTCAATTTCACTACCAACTATAAAACATTAAATAATGTAGGTATTTTTCATATTTTATCATAGATTCGAATAATAGCAATTTTAAAAAAAATGACAATCTTTGTACTCACTTTTACCCATTGTCCAATGTTAAAATTCAAAATTCCTGCGAAATATTGAAGTTTAAACGTCAAGTCCTCGTTTTAACTCAAGTGTTGGTAAAAAATTACCTACAGAGCCCACCCTTTGCACGACAGTCATCTTGAAAACAATCCAAGCGGCAAAGTTATGGTGAATGCACGTATAGTTCCAGTCAAAATTTCTTTAATCGTTTGCGGCCAACAACAAAGTATTATTTGAATTAAATGCATATAGGTTCCATGGTTTAATGGCCCATAAAAACAAACAAAGATGCAAAAAGTTTAGCTCAAAACAGCAACACAAATAATATATTCAACTTTAAAATAATATGAACAATATTTATTGACAAATAAAATTAATTTTTATAAGAGTGTTTGATAGCCTCATGGGTTATGACAACAGCTTGACAAGCTTGACAAGTTACAGACCTGAGTTCAATCCCCGGCTAGGTCAAAACTTTTTTAAAATTTAAATCTACTAATTTGACTATTTTATTCAGTAGAATTTGACTAATTATTAGCGACTGCTTTTTCGCTATGACAATTGGTCAAATATGACTTATAATTAGTTATTTTTGACTAATTCATTTTAAGAGAGTAGGTTATATATATATTAAATTAGAAATAATTATTAGCGTTACAATTATTTCAAATGAATTGCCTTTTAAAAGATTATAAATTATTTATTAAACTATAAAAAATTGGTACCTAAATGCAAAAAATTATACCTTAAAAATTTTTTTTGTTTGTCCAATATAGACTTTGGGCGTGACACCCAGAAATTTTTTTGCCAGCAGTTTTTCCCGTATAAGGGCCCCTACCAGATTTTTGATACGAGGCCCCCTCGAGGCTAGCTACGCCACTGCTACCTATATAGTTTATTTAGTAATTAGAGTTTAGTGTAGACGGCAATTAGTTACTTTAATTTAATTTAGCAATTAATATTTTATTATATTAAACAATTATGAGGTTTCTCAAACCTGAAAGTCATTGAAATGGTTATTAAAATTAAGCGGAAACTTGTCGTCGAGCGCAAGGATTAGTTATTGGAGAAGCGCGCGAGAGCGAACACGAGGCGGGGGCTCCGAAATTATGATGATGGGACGGGATGATTCAGGACACATGTCTTGTCCCACTCCCTCCACGCTGACGCCAATTCGTATTTGTTCGACTGTGCCAAAGTAATCACATCATAATAATATTTTACATTTCATATTGTGTTGGACTTACTCGTATTTTCGAAATTCCACACTCAACTTGTTTGCGAACTCAATCTCACAATACGCGTGCTTATAAAACCGTAAAAAACACCTTGCAATTTTAATTTTAGATCATTTCTCTACAGCACTCAATATTTATGCAACGTTGCAGCAAGATTGCAATATTCCAGACAACGTTGTAGACGTGTGTAGCACAACGATAAAAGCTACGACCTTCTTCCGACTACTTTTAAATTTTAAACTTGGTACTAGTAGGAACCTAGTTTAGTGCGATTTTTTCAAAAAATTTTGTTAAAGTTTTGAATTGAATTATGGAACCATCGCTTGATGCACCCAGGTTTTGTGGAAAAAGTCCAAATGTGAATGCAAAAAATGCCTTTTGAGTGACATCCGTGCACCTAATTCACAATAATTTTTCAATAATTCCATAACAATTTGTTTGTAGTTATCACTTTTCTTGTTTCCAAGAAAACCATCTACGATGCTTTTAAAAGATTGTCAGGCTGCAGATTCTTTCTTCAATAAACATTCAATGTTTAACATTGTGAAAAATAATTATCATTCAATAACTTTCTGATCTGAGTACCAACAAATACGCCTTCTTTAATTTTAGCATACGAAATTTTAGGAAAAACTGCTAACAAATGTTTAAAAGCAGCACTAAATCTGATTTTCGTACATAAAATTGTACTGATAAACAATTGAAAATCATCATTTATAAAAAGTTTGGTAAGAAAATCCTAAAAAATTTCATAAAATGTCAATGTAAACGCTTTATATCTCAACAAATATTAATCCTAGCGATTCAAGACCTTTTTTGAAGAAAAAACATTTTTTCGATAAATCCAGTCACTTTTGAAATATTTTAAAAAATATGAGAATTTTTCACCAAAATCAGATTTAGTGACCCGTACCATCCTACAGGTGCAGATTACAGCACATAAAGCATTT